TGTGTGTGTGTGTGTGTGTGTGTGTGTTTACCCTGGGCTTAATCCTAGACGTGTCTCATGAAGATTATGATGGTATGATAAGTTGTTTAAACTCTTAAGAATCTCTGGCTGAGTTAATTATTATTTGTTGCAGTTTCCGGAAGTAAAGTAGCATCCAACAATCAGACTAAAACCTTCTCATAAAGTCCTTGCAAATTAACCGACATGAACTGAACACGTTTAAGTAAACCAACATATATTGTCCACTGAACACAGTAAACACAAAATACTACATTTTCTAACAGACATTTAAAAAAAAAAAAAAAAAGTGTTGATACCTTAAGCCGTGAGTCGCTGTCACGCGTACACATCCATAAGTCGTCCAAAAAATATTTACAGGACAAGATTCAACCTGTTGTGTCCCTCACGACGTGGCACACTGCACAGCAACGTTGTGCGTCCTCAGGTGAAAAGTGGAAAGGTATACTCTCTGTACAAAAGGTATCGTCTGGCGTACGTTAAATTCACTCCGCTCTTCATCCGCCTTAACGTCACACAGGTGTGTCCTTTGGCCAACCTGTGCACTGGTGAATTGGCCGCTCCACAGTCATCGCGTGTTAATGCGCCCACAGACACCCTAAATTTGTATTATCTTTGCGTATACAGAAGTTCACCGAGTGTCGAAATCGCTCTTAATAAAAAGAGGAAGGACCCGGCGGATGTAAATCTCTCAACAACAAAATAAAAAGGGAAACAATCAGATTGTAAATTATTAATTAAGAGGTAATCCAGTTTAAAATGGCACCGAGACAAAAACAACCCTTAGATTTCCAACCCAGATAATTGACTGTCAACACACATGAGAAGCAAAACTGTGCGAGCTCAGGAGGACAGAAACACTCCTCGCCAGATGAATAAACTGCGCGCGTTGACGGTTCTGTTTTTTTTTTAAATGTATGGATCCATTACGAAACGTCCTCTACACATGGTACTGATTACCACAAACTAAACACGCCCATCAGGTGGCTTGCGTTGTCATTATTTCATCACATGGAGCTGTTTGTGACAACATCGGAGTGGTGATAATTCTCATATTGATAATGAGTTTAGATAGGTAGATACTTTATTCATTTAATTTAATTTAATAATCTTTTTCTGTGAATGATTACACAAAGGAATGACAACAAACTGCAGAATCAGAAAACTCTGAACAAATAGTGAAGCATCTATATCTGTTGTGAGGTATGCCTGAGGTCACGTGAAGTTACTAATACCCCTGGGTGTGTTTGCTTTGTGTAGCCCCAAGAGATCTTTACTCATGTGAACACTGAATCAGTGAACAATTCCTGTTATCTGTGTATTCGTTTTTTCTTCTTTCGTACCCTATTAATCATACTCATGTACAATGATAGAGTAAGTGCTCTGTATAAAGACAGTAAGCCCTGCTACAAGCATAGAAATAAGACCCATAACGTCAAACCTGGTTGGAACGAGTATGTAGCTGAGTATCGTGCTGAAGCCTGTGACGCTTTCAAATCATGGGCTATAGCTGGTAGACCCAGACAAGGGCCAGTGCTTACAAGAAGCTCACCAATGCTAGATATAAGTATGCCATTCACTTCATTTGCAAAAAATGATCAAACCATGAGGGCTGATTCCATGGCCAAGAAACTGCTGAGCAACAACATTGTTGATTTTTGGAAAACATCTTTACCATCTTTACCATGCACTGAAGATGGAATTTCAGGAACAGACATAGTAAGTTGTTTTTCAAACTGAGCCAAAGAGGTGTCCCCACATACATTGTGAGAATTCTGGCTTACTGGTATGCGCACCAGACTATGCATGTAAAATTGGGGAAAGTGTCTCAGCCCCATTTCGGGTTAGCAATGGTGTCCGACAAGGGGGAATTTTGTCCCCAGTTCTGTTTAATCTATATATTGATGATCTGTCCAAGCAATTGAAAGCTTGTAATACTGGGAGCATGATTGGAAATACTCTGGTTAATCATATCATGTATGCAGATGATCTGGTGATCTTTAGTCCACCTGGCGCTGGTCTTCAGCAGCTCCTCACTATATGTACTGTGTGTGGTGTGGAACATGACTTCAAATACAACGCCAGTAAGAGTGCTATCTTGAACTGTGGAACTAAAGATAACAAATGTCTTAACTTCCCCGACTTCAAATTGTCTGATAACAATCTTCGTGTCTGTGATGAAGTAAAACATTTCTAGGCAATGACGTAGGATGTATGCACAAGCAAACAGTCTCTCACGCAAGTTTGGTATGTGTACAGAAGGGAGTGAAGATGTCTCTGTTCAGAGCATATTGTACACCACTCTACACTGCACACTTGTGGTCAAACTACTAAAAGAAGAGCTTACAGAGACTTCAAGTAGCTTATAATGACGCCATGAGAATACTGTTAAAGAGACCGAGATGGAGTAGTGCCAGTGAAATGTTTGTGGCTGCAGGAGTCAATACTTTCCAAACTGTTTTAAGAAATCTCATGTATAAATTCATTTGTCGACTTAATGACTCTGAAAATTAGATCATAGTTGACATAACCAACATAAGGTTTAGCACCACACACTACCAGTCCCAGCTGTGGCGACATTGGTACAGCTGTCTCTTTGTAAGGCATTACTAGGCCTATGTACTTTTATTGTTTGGGTCTGTCTTTTTATGTATTTGTCTCTCTGGACCCTGAGTCTGAAATAAAAAATTAAGTCTATCTATCTATCTATCTATCTATCTATCTATCTATCTATCTATCTGTCTATCTATCTATCTATCTATCTATCTATCTATCTATCAATACTATAACTCCTATTTGTCTTGTGACCCTTTGAAGGGCCACACCCCTAGATTGGGAAACACTGGACTAAACCAACTGACTGTATATAGAATGAGTCAGAACTATAGCTCCACCTCCAGCAGCCACAACAGTAAAATGCTGCTTACTATTACATTGATGCATCAATATTAATAATCTGACAATGCCATGTAGAATAGTGTTTCAGTAACATGGGCCTTTCTGCTGCAGAATGAGCACTTTTGGTACATTTAGCTGATAGTACTTTGTTCTATTGGTGCTTCTACTGCAAAGAAAGGATCCACCACTAGCCTGGCAATTGTTTGCATGTTAAAGGATTACACCAGTATTTCTTGCAAGTTTTAGTCCCCCAACTACTATTTATTTACGTATATATATTATATTCCTGCTAACCTTTTTTCTTCTTCTTTTTTTCTCCAGATTGTATAAATATCAATTAGCAGACAATAAGCATCAGGTCTACATTGGTATTATTAATTATTGATTGTTTTCCATGGTAATGCATTAGAGTGCAGATGGAGTTGAAAAGCCTGCACTATGTTGCCTCAGAACAATAACATTACTGTGCTGGAACACACAACTGAAGTTTTAAGAGTCTGCTAATTGACTTTCATATCAAATGGCAGCTAATGGTATGATGTATGGTGTTTTGATAGACAAAAAAAAACACTTTAAGGGAAAGGAAATGCCACAGAATGGTTTGCACTGACGTAAGGTACAATTTGCAGGAAATGACCTCAAACATCCAAAGTGACATGTAATAATAATGAGATTATTGATAACTTAATGTATACAGCACTTTTCAAAAACAAGCTACAAAGTAAGATACAAAGATATAAAAACAGATAAAAGATGAACAAATCATTAAATAGGATGCAAATAACAAATGAGGTTACTTAATAGTATTTTAAGCCATTGTTTTTTTACTTCTTTTATTTTCATTTGGTCTGTGCTAATTTGTAAGTGTGGTCATATACAGTTTTTTTTAATCTTTGCATAGATCCTAATCCTAATTCACCAATATGTGCAGGTTCCGTAGACACAGTTAACATGAAAGGCGACTTCCTTCTCTGCTCAGGTGGACATTACTCCACTATACTTTTACATAGCAAATAGTTGTTTGCTGCTATATTGATCGGCTGAATGTTGTATATTGCTCATTTAAGCCTTGGTTTCACCCACCTTCCTGTTTGGGGTTTATAGTCAGTGTACAGAGGTATTTGTCATAAACCTGAGTGGTCCTGAGATGATTAGTGAAGTACAAATAACGAAATTTGTCGTTATTGCTCTTAGACTTTTCTCTAATCATTGTTTTTTGGGAAACATTGGAGGGTTTTACCCCTTTGAGCTTCAAAGAGCTGAGAAGTTAAAAGGGGAAATATCTTTTTGGTACAACTCAAAATACTCAAGTACAGTATAAGTATCTTGAAATTGTAATGAAGCACAGTTCTTGAGTAAATGTACCTAGATACATTCACGGAGAGTATTCAGTATTTAATATTCACTCGCTTTTACCTCGTTCTCTACCAACTCCTGAGAAAAATGTGTCTCTGTAACTGCTAAATGCTCCACTGTGTTCAACTAAATGACAAACATGTTTTATTTCAAAACGCCGATTTCTGTTTTGTGTAACTTTTTCAGGCCACCTTGTATTCCACGACACTTAAGAGGCTCCAGACCTTACAAGATAAAGTCTGTGGAAGTTGTAGTCGTTGCCGTTTGTACTCCCTCAACTGAATCTGCACCAGAATACGTTTTATCTCGCATATGTGGCTTCATGTGAAGTGCAGTTTGTTTATCACAAGTTATCGCTTCGCACAGACACTTCCTTCCTCTTTCACTGGTACTTAACTGCCAACTGAAACATTACACTTGTCTGTTTCAGTGGTAGAGTATGTGTAACTTAGCATTCAATGTGGAGTGAAAAGAGTAACCCAACACCTGTGGCACTATAGAAAGGGTCATATACGATTCATCAGCATTAAGAAGACATGCTGAAAGAGCATCCTTTATCTTGTTATACCGTTTCACTTGTTTTGCAGTACAATCACTTTACAATCAAAGAACACATCAAGCTTTTCACCATTACTTGTAATTATAGTTATTTATTATAAAAACAGGTTGACAGTTAATACAGTTTATTTACAGTATATATCATGCTATGAAATAAAAGCAAATGTAAAGTGATAAAACAACAGCGTAGAGTTGTAACAAATTAAGGCTTAAATGCATATAAAATGTCAACATTTTCCTCCATAAAACAATGGCAAAGAAGTGTGATGCTTCAGTTGCACATTATGGCTGGAAACCAAAAAGATGGACCTCATTATTAATGTTTTCCAGGAAAGTAACACATCTGTCTGTGTGGTGTAACATTTCAGTCTTGCCACTACATTTATTTATTTGCTCACCCAAAGTGGACAAAAGCACTGAGTGCATGATTCAATTTAATATTAACACAGTCATCTTTCATATCGTGGTGAATCTGGCACGATAAATTCATTTAAATTATCATATTTTTAGTTTTTTTTTGACTGTTAATAACACATTTTTGATTTACTCTGAGCAGAAGCGCTCACATTCATCTCATCAATTAAAGTTTCAATTCAGTTGTTTTTGCTTGGTTTGTGTGATTCCTTTGTTCCTTCTTATTCAACAGTATTTTAGGAGACCGTCAGCACTGATTCAACGTGAACAGAAGAAACCTGAGGACTGCCTTGAGTCTATTTTCAGAACATTTGAACACAAACTAAAAGAAAATATATTGATTCGTCTAATTATCAGTCACACGTCATGACTGTGTTGGCGCCAGGGTAAAAAATACTGTAATGAAAATGTTATGGCCGTGTGATTGGTGAAACATTGCAAACACTGACATAACAAGTGGCAAGATATACATGAATACGCATTATATAAGCATTCTCCTTTATGCTGACTTGGCCACTCAGCTAATGGAAGACTCTTTCTGATGCAAATATATTTTTATTTGCAAATACTTGAATAAAGAAAGTAATGGACCATATCAAAAAAGACAATGTTATCTTGTTATTACACAAAAAGTTGAAAAAGATTTTTTATGTACTGTAGCTGCCTGGAGCAATACTCCCCCCCCGTGTAGTCACATAGGAAACGACATTTTTAGGCCTGTCATTTCCTGGCCTGAAAGTGCTGAGAAGTCATCTTTGGATGTCCCCGATAATACTATCTGGTCAGCAAGAAAGGAAAGGAGGATACACTCATTAAAAGAGCACCTCTTCACAAGATACTTGTACAATCTGGCACATTTTTGGAACCCGTTAACGGGTTCAAAGTTCATAAGAGGAGCGCAGATATCACAGGAATCGTCTCTGATGGGAGGGCAAGAGACGGGGTGAGGAGCTCAGATGAGGGAGATCCGTATAGGGATGGTGGGAGACTCTGTCCTGTGCTGGGGGGAGTGATGGGACACCACATGTTCCACCATAGTGTGTTTGGACATGTGTTTTACAAGGTATGTCTCCTGGAAAAAAACAAGACAAAGACAACACTTTTTTGACATGGCCGCTGCAGTCAGCTCAGATTTAAAAACGTTACTTGGATTTCCAACTCACCGACGTGTACGCCCTGCCGCACATGCTGCAGCAGTAGGCCTTGGCATTTTTAATGGCGTGTGCAGACATGTGGATCTGCAGCGAGGAAGAGTCTGAATAGGCACGGTAGCAGTTGGAACATTTGAAGGGCTTGTCTTTGTTGTGCTGCCTCTGGTGAGACTTCAGCAGGGGAGGAAAAACATAGTGGAAATAGGTCACCTTCACCTTGCCTCACAGTTTAAGCTGTGGGGAATGGGGCTAGTTAAACAGGTGGCCTAGGAAAACAGTTGATTACCTGCAGATTAGACAGCTGCGTAAAAGCTTTTTCACATCCTGGGTGGAGGCATTTGTATGGCCGATCGCCTGTGTGGATTCTGAAATAGGCACAATGATGCAAATATTAGATTTCCATCGCAGAGTAGACAACGGCACCTCTGTAGCTCTTCTACACTGCGTGCTCCTCCCTAACTGACAACACTGGAGACAGCAACCTGAAACAACAGTTCCTACTACAAGGTAACGGTATTTTAAAGGGTCAGTTCACCAAATCACAAAAAATCCCATCAACTTCCAGATTACATTTTCTCACTTCTAGTAGACATGCGTGACTCAATCATTTCTGAGAACTCTACTATTTTGTTGGTGCTGCTAACAGCATTATCGTCTTTTCTTTTTTACTTCAAAGGATAAGTTTGCAATGTTTGTCTTATCATTACCGCCGAGTTGTCGTTAAATGGCAGGCAATTGCCCATATTGCCTTTGTTTTCTTGCTGTAATCATTTCTCTTGTTCATACTGGCCATGAAAAGATTAATCCCTACTGCTCTTCCAGTGTAAGTGATGCAGGGGACAAAATCCTCAGCTCTCTGAAGTTTATCTGAGAAAAGACTTTATTTATCAAGAGGGAAATTGTTTTGCAGCAGTTGCTGACATTGAACAATGGTGTACCTATCCTTCAAACATTGTGTGACACACAGTTAATGCAATTAGTGATTAGCTCTTCAGCGGAACGTGTCACTAATGTATTTTTCAAAGATCATAGATAAAGGAATTGTTTTTGCACATCTGACTTTATGAATAGAGAATGTCCCGACTAAACCTAAGTTGTAGTCAATTCTACTGTTTACTGTACAGACACTAATGACAACATTGTCTCTGTTAAATCGAGAAATTTCCCAAAAACACATTTGAATATAAAAAGTCAAAGAAAATGTGGTCAGTTTTTTCAATGAAGTCTTTACAAAAAGTAAAATTCTTATTTTATTTATTTTAAACCTTTTACTATGAAGCTCATTAGAAGGGTAAATGTGACACTGTCTTCTTCAGAATCAGTGTTTTCTGGGGGATAAATCCCAGGTCACACACTGTGAGCAGTTTTCATAGAAACTATATCTTAAGCAAAAGAGTTTCAAGGAAAGCTATTCACAGTTAAAGCTGAGGAACTTCTCTAAAACATCTCTATGGCTACGCTATAGTCATCAGAGGGAAGTGATTTGGGTGAACTGACCTCAAATAAAAGGAACCTTCTGCCATCAACTTACCCTCTTTGAGCAACACAATTTATACCTCTGATACTTGCCCAACCCTGCAGGAAAGTTTACATTTTAAAGCCTACTAAAGTTTATAATCTGTGATTTAATGAACAAATCACCCCCCAAGTATGATACATGAAGCATTTTGCCTACAATCATATGACACCACAGCTTACTATTTCACTGCTCATTAGGAAACAGAACATTACATATATATATATATATATATATATATATATATATATGTTATTTAGCAGGATTGATGCTGCACAACAGAATACATTTATGCTCATAAAAGCAATAATATGACAAAAAGAAAATGCAATGGACATGCTGTGATGAGATCAGACCTGGTGTGTTGCTGCAGATGGGAGAGTTGGCGAAAACATTTCTCGCAGTAGGAGCAGCGGTAAGGCTTAATGCCCAGGTGTATGCGCAGGTGCTGGGCCAGGTACGATGCGTTCGCAAAGGACTTAGTGCAGTGAGGACACTTGTGAGCCTTTGCCTCCGTGTGCGTTTTGGAGTGGATCTGCATGTCGGACTTGGAGAAGAAGGTCAGCGGACACATTTTACACCTGTATCGAGGACACAGCGACACAGATAGAGAACACATGTAAAGGACACGCACAGAGACTCAAGCATACATACATCTATAGATACTAGTTACACTGCAGCTTAATATTTTATATACAAAACACATGATCAGCTCATATTAATCCACTGCATAATACTGCAATGTAATGTACTGTATAGCATGGTGAGTACTTTTACTTTTCATGCTAATGCTTTTCTCTTTACTTGACAGAAATGACAGATTCCAGCAGAAACAAGCTGTAAGACATCACGCTGACAGATCATCCCCGTTAAAGTTGATATGGCAAACGGTTGCTTATTTACACATCCAACAGATACAGAGCAACATTAGCATTCATTTGGGGACTGTTTGTGTCCGACTGGCGAATGTAAGTCCAATATCTTTTCGCTCGGTTTTTGGTGTCTTTCAGCTCTTTCATATGGAACTATCTGTCTCTTAAGCTGCTAAATGCTCCACTATGTTTAGTTGCTAACTGAGTCTGTCTGCTGTATTTTATTTTGTGTATTAATACTCTACGTTTTCTTTTAGGAATGGTCTTAATATTGTTCACTAGTGTACTGTGTTCTGTTACCCTACTTGTTTTATATTACCAGTTCTGGGGCTGCTTCTATGTTTTGGTGAGCCAAGACAATTCTCCAATCTGGTGGACATTCAGTTTAAATTGTATTCCTTTTTTTCTATATCGTAGAAATAATCAATAATCACTATATTTCCTCCATTTTTAGGAGTAACGGGAGACTTGAAACCTGCTGTATCTACTGGACTGCTAATTATCTGAAAACAACTGTGAGCCATGAGTCAGATGCACTGCACCTCGGTTATCTCTGCTCTATCTTTAGAAAAAGTCCTTTCTTACCTGTAGGTTTTTCCTGGTTTGGTAGTGATGGTGACACATTCGTTGCCTGAGGCCAGGATTGGGTAGGGGACCACCAAAAGAGACGACCCATTCTCTGCTTTGATCCTCTTACGCCCTCGTTCCTCCTTTGGAGGAGGGCCGAGGAGTCCCACGAGGCCCCCGTTGTTTTTCCCGTGCTCCATGCCGTGGCAGCAGGCCAAACCTGAGATGAGGTGAGGTGTGGGGGCTCCACCGAGCCGGTTGTGGTTGCTCAAGGTGGGTGTAGTGGGGCTGATGATCTCTGAAGTGTTCAGGTTGCCTGTTCTGGATGCCAGCGCCACACCTGTTGAATGCAAAGGTGAGGAGAGTCAGCCATGCAAACTGTAGCAACATGGACAAACAGCTGCTAACTAACAGAGATATCAAATGGACATATTTTAGGATGGTTAGTAAGGCTATAGTAATATCACTCTCCTGTGTAGCAACTTTAGGCTAAAGTCATTTAGTCTTAGTCTACCTCCTACATATACGTACAGCACAGAGAAGTCATAATTTCCCAACATTATTTCTAGAGCTAATGATGAATTAACCCTACAAATCGCAGACCTGAGCAGGACAACATTCTTTGCTTCCTTGTTTCTACAGCGACAGAGAGTACCAACCGGACAAACTGTGGCTACCTGAGACGTGGTTCGTCCTGGAGGGATAGTCTATAAGTTGACGGAGGTGCCAGTCTTCCCATAATCCTCTGGCTTTTATAGCTGCCTTATCGTCCAGATTCAAGTTTACATCCCCCAGAATACGACCTGGTAAAAAAAAAGAAAAATGCAGGAAAGTTCACATTTACAAAACGCATAAATCTTTCATCATCCTGATCAAATGCCAACAATTTACAGCTGGTATAAAGGCACATCCATTTCATTTAGGTCATCGTACAGCAACACTCGTACAACAAACAGTCTTATCCTTCCTTATTGTTTTAATAAATTCATTAATTTGACAGGGACAGTGCAGTTTCTTAGTTGTATCAGAGTTAGTTATAAGCTAATTTACAATCACAAGACAGTACATTCACTCTACAACAACAACATTAAGGCAGCACGACAACAACCTTTCGTGTAGTGCATGATGAGTACATGATTGAGTTCATTAGCCATGATTTCCCCTTGACAAGCAGCAAAGGGCCGGACACGTTGTGGTTCTTGGTCAGCAAGTGGAAAAATACACCGCTACTCCACAACATCTCAGAGGCAAATATTTTTGTTGCAAATGTGGTGCTTTTACTTTATCTGACATTTTCACACTCACTTTTGTGATTTTGAACTTGAATGTGTACGATAAACTGAAGGATAAAGTGTACCTTAATGTGCTGAGACAATTGTTCTACTTCTTGAGCTAAATAAACTATTTCAAAGCCCTCTGGGATCAGCTGGAAAAGGCATCGTCACAAAGCTAAAAACAGGGCTGTTGATCTGACTTTATGAAAGTTGACTCTTTAAGAGATACGTGGTTCTTACAGGACAGCGACGCCACACAAATACGATCTGATAGAATATGATGCATTGCTGTAGATTAAACTACCCAACTGTAAATAAAGGAATTAAAACATCTAAAGCAGTAAAATACAACATTATCTTTAATGCAACAGTAGTACGAATGAAAACAAAAACATATATAATAGTAATATATAATTTTACGGCAAAATGAGTACTTTTACTTTTGATACCTTAAGTACATTCTGCTGATAATACCTACATACTTTTACTTAGGCAAGGTTATGAATGCAGAACCTTTAGCTGTCGTGGAGTATTTTAACAGTGTGGTATTAGTACCTTAATGTACTAATATACCACACTGTTAAAATAAGTAAATTTTACTTAAGTAAATTTACTTAAGTAAAGTATCTGAATACTTCCTCCACCACTGCTAAAAAGTGAGGACAGGAAGTACCTGTGACTGAGCTGGAGGCGGGGCGGGCGTGCAGGGCGATATCAGGCTGAGATGGGCTGTGGCTGTGGAGAACCGGCATCTGGTGACTTTTCGACATAGCGTGCTGGCCGCCATCCCCCTGGATTTGGGGAGCCAGTAAGGGCTGTTGGGAAGGGGCTGAGGCAGCGGGCAGATGTTGCGGTCGGATCTTCTCTGCCATCAGCTGCTCCTTGATTTTATTGATCAAGACTAGGTTATCCAGCTGACAGCCAGGAAACAACATTTGTGAAAAGAGAACAGTCATCAGTTCAGTCAGTGTCACTTTATGAGGCGATGGTTCCCTCTAGAGGCTGATACGTGACATTGTACCCAAAAACATCCTTCCAATTAAACACCATATTAAACCAGTGGCTCCCAAACTTTCTGTCTTGAGACTTCTTAAAATGAAGCAATGTTTATTTGTTACCAGCTTTAGGGAGTCTTTTTTGATTACTATAATTTGAGGGATTTTTTGGAGACCAGAATAGATAGCATCATGTATTTCACAGGGGAAAAAGCTTAATTTAGAGAAAAGTAAGAAGAAACAAGAAACAATTTTCTTTGACAGATTGTTTGAATATATTGAATCATCTGGTGACCCCTCAAATTAACCTTGAGACCCCTTGGGGAGTCCTGAACCTCAGGTTGGGAACCACTGCTTTAAAGGAATAGTTTGCCACTTTGACAAATGCGCTTGTTAGTGTTTTACTGACATTTTGATGAGAAGATTTCAGGCCTGTACGCTAACTGTGTGGCAAGACCCAGCTACCAGTTAGCTTAGCTTAATATAGATTAATATAAGATGTACATAAACCCTATTGCTATCCTCAACCAATACTTCTTTTTGAGGTGGGTTGTTGGGAGGATTGTGTACTGGAGATGTCCTGTATTTTTGTGTATAGATACAAACATACATACATACATACATACACATATATATATATATATACACATACACATATATATATATACATACACAAAATGACTTTGGAGTGGCCTAGTCAAAGTCCCGACCTGAATCCGATTGAGATGCTGTGGCATGACCTTAAAAAGGCGGTTCATGCTCGAAAACCCTCCAATGTGGCTGAATTACAACAATTCTGCAAAGATGAGTGGGCCAAAATTCCTCTACAGCGCTGTAAAAGACTCATTGCCAGTTATCGCAAATGCTTGATTACAGTTGTTGCTGCTAAGGGTGGCCCAACCAGTTATTAGGTTTAGGGGGCAATCACTTTTTCACACAGGGCCATGTAGGTTTGGATTTTTTTTCCCCCTTAATAATAAAAACCTTCATTTAAAAACTGCATTTTGTGTTTACTTGTGTTATCTTTGTCTAATATTTAAATTTGTTTGATGATCTGAAACATTTAAGTGTGACAAACATGCAAAAAAATAAGAAATCAGGAAGGGGGCAAACACTGTTTCACACAACTGTATATACATATATATATATATATATATACACACACACACACGTATATATGTATCAATAAAGACATTGTTAGAAAAAACAACAACAGCGAACATTTACACAGTAAAGTTACACTACAATGATCTTCACTGCTTAAGGTTAACGTGTGCATGAATTAGTGTGAATACCAGAGTCACTCACCTGGCCGGGCATGTTGGGAGGCGGGGACCAAAAATAGGCATTGTTAAAGCGAGGTTCAGCCATCCTGAAATAAATACACAAGCATCATAAACAAGGGGAGGAAAGCTTCTCCGTCCATCAGTGTAACAAGTACATGATCGTAGTTATGTACAATGCTTCTCAACCTTTTTAGTTTGGCCCTTCTTGAACGCGGCATTGTTTAATTGTGACTCGGGTTAAATAGGTGAGTGATTTTTTTTTTCCTTCTCAATATTCAGAATCGTAATTTACACAAAAAAAGTTAGAGATTAGAGGAAACTTTGACTCATCTTGCGACCCCTCCGATGTATATTTTTTTTATTTCAGGTTGGGAACCACTGTAACATATTCCTAAAACCTGCCCCCTTAATAACATAAATAAATGTGAAGATCTAGTGTTAGTGTCCAAAAGTAGTGGTTAAAACTTGTGACGGGAGCTCTCCACCCAAGCAGCAGCTGACTGTTTGACGTGATAATTTGAGATAACTTATCCCAGTCTCGTGATGGCGTATCTTCGAAGACATTCTGTATTAGTTCTCCTCCTTTCTCAAAAGTGCAAGAGGAGACTTTGTGTCTTTACACGGTGCTTCATCAGAGAGGATGTTTCTGTTGCCAAAGGAGGACGTTTAAGTGATGCAGCTTTTTCTTAGGACTTCCGACCACAACACTTTGAGATGGTTATGCTGCCTGACAGATAGGCTCTCACATGATTACAACTGCTAGTTTGGAAACTCTCCAAAAACGGTTATCAGAGAAAACAGAAACTTTAAAAGCGATGTGGCTCTGATCCTAATCTTATACTGTCCGTCTCCACCTCGACACGGGGGGCCCACGAGTCTGATGGGAAACCGGTCTCCCCTCAGAGTACAGTGAGACCTGAATGACGTAGTCAGAAGCTAAGAGGTCAGTAACAGAGAATGGAATAACTAAAATGAAGATGCCGCACAGAAACCACACTGATTTGTAAGTGACATAGTAATTGTTTTCTCTTTTTTTATGGCAAATTAAGAGCATGACGTATTCTCTTTAAAATGAGAATATTTGATGTCTATGGGTTGCAATTAGGCACAAGGCTTCTTTTCCACACTGTGTCAGGCCAGGTGGGCAGAAACCTTTCTATAGCTTCTCTTCTCAACCTCGTATGAAGTTTCTTTTTTAGAACATTTTGCATTGCGTGCTTTGGCACTCTTCACCATTCCTAAGTCTGTTTGGCTTAGCAGAGGCATAACACAGTCCGTCTACGCGAGCCAAGAGAAACAAAAATGAGACGTTCAGGGGTACGAGCGTACAGTAAACCCCACAAAATATTTCTGTAATGATGCCAGCGGGGATCAGGTTCACTTCCTGGAGGCTTTCTGCCTCGAGGGAGCAGGCTCAGGAGTTTGACGGCTGCTGGACTTTGTGTCACTTTCTAAAAAGACATGATTCACATAGAATCCAATCAACCACGGACAGGTCTACACTGCATCACTTTAGTACTACTTGTGCCACTTTTGCCAGAATAGTTTAGATTTTTGCCTACGGTGCAGCTGATACGGCTGAAATGTTTATGCCTTCATGTAACAGGGTTTGAAGTTTTTCCAGCAGGTAGGAAAAAAACATGGAGGCTTTCTTCCAGTATTTTGGAAGCAGGTGCATTAGAGAGGAGCTCAATATATTGTAAAATAAATAAATACATTCATGATCTGTACATTACTTTCATAATAAATAGGTTATTTGTTTTGGCAATGAAATGTCAGAAAATAGTGAAAGATGGCCAATATAATTTCCAAGGTCACAAGGTGTTGACCAGTCTAAAAACAAACAATGGTCTGTTTATTATAATATATGACACAGAAAAGCATCACATTCTCACATTTAAGAAGCTGGAACTGGTAATTGTTTGAGATATTTGCTTGAAAACTACTAATTCACTATCATGACAGTTAATGCTTGTTTTTCTGTGGACTGGACTCTGCTGCTCTTTCATATTGAACAACATCAAAGTTTTGTTCCCCTTTTACTTAAGTTATATCATTGAAAAAGCAATTAATATGGTGCACTGTGAAAGAAATGGTCTTTTCTTAGAAGCCACCCTTTCTGAAAGGTTGCAATTTATAACTGATGGCTAATAATTAATTGTTTTAAAGATCAATTAAGCCATTTAGAACAAATGTTGTGTTGTCAGGTTGTGAAAACTTTCTCAGGATCCAAATCCATCACTTATATAAGCACACAATTGCAGACCGGATGGCTTAAAACCCCTTTATTAATAACGTATTGACATTTATAACTGGAGACATGATGGCCTTTTAAAAAGTGCAAAATCCATGATCATTTATTAATAAATTGCCAACAGGTTTAGCTGCATTAATATCTAACTTGAAAGATAAATATTACTAAGAGGCAACTCAAAATATCTTATCAATAATTAGAACTGATCTATAAAGCACTTATTAATAATAAAACCATTTGTTACAACTTATAAGCCCTTATAGAGGCTATTAGAACGTGACACTTAAGTGATACTAAACCCACTTAGGCTACACGCGGTTAATTCTGTAATAACTATTAGTATTCTTTCATAAGCAGAGGATCCGTGCTCTCTGACATGTGGGGGCTATAATACTCCTACAGACGGTGGGTCAAGTGTTAACACAATGACGTGCAGGTAGCACGTCTTTGCAGACAGAAAACTATATTTCAGCTTGAGTGTAATAAAACACGATACGGGATCATTAGCCTGCCGCTCGACCACCTCTAAAACTAAAGTTAGGGTTAACTTGTCGGTGCTGTTTGCTGTGCTGAATTATTCCTCTGTTCAAAAGCAAAAGAAACGAAATGTAAACGTTTAAATGTTGCAGGCTGAGCCGCTTGAGACGAGCAGCATCTCCTCCGGAGAGAAACGATCCTCCGCAGCGCCTCGCGCTGTCCGCCGCCTCTCCCACATTCTCAGACAGTTTATTAAAAAAATTCAGACAAAAGGAAAACAAAAATGGCAGCCCTGTCTTATTTTTATAACCACTGGACGCCATATTCTGCAGATCCGAATATTATAAGGAGATAATTCTCCCCGTGTCATGCAACGCTCGTGCGATGCGTCGGGATGTGGCGTATTTGCATTAAGCGTACGAATGATTGTTTACTTTGATTCAGGTTTGAATAGCCCGGCTCGAGGAAGGGGTGAAAAAAAAAAAAAAAGAAGCCTGACACTTCCTACAACAATCATCATGCCCTCGCTGAATGCTCTGCAGCTGGTGAGCCATAAAACCTAAATGTCGATGTTAATACTGGCGCGTAGTGAAAGCCTTTTCTCTTTCTCCCACGACAGAAGGAAACAAATCTGTCTTTTAGCATCTCTGCGCTACAAAATGCTCCTTTTTTTTTACATGCAACTTTTGCATGACTTAAACAGAAACGGTGACGAGGCGACGCGAGGAGAGAGCTCGTGCGGGAGAGAAAAGAGCAAAGAAAGGAGGCAGATTATTTGCATCGGGCGGCCAACATACCTGAACCAGCGAGGGAAGGGATATTTTATAAAGGATTAGACTCTTCTTTCTGCTCGCTCTGGGTCGGACTTCAAACCTTCCGGGTCGCCTGCTGTTCACTTCTGGGTGCTGCAGGCTTCTATACACACGGAGCTGAAACACCGTTTTTTTAACCCATTTTCTGGTCGCTAATTTAAACGGTGGCTTTTCCTTGCAGATGTTGTGGTCGCGTCGGATAGAACCGTGCGTACGCGCGTGCAGTTCGCAATTAACATGGTTTTTCCTGCACAGTGGCATTTGTGGTGTCAACATATTATTGCATGTGCGAGGCGGACTTTCTCTCACGTGCATCATCACTAATACTAGTCTCAAACAACAGCAGATAAGGCTGTACACTAAAGACAGAGCGGCAGTAGTCGAAGTCCATCATGAGAATAATTGGTTGCATCGTTGTATAAAAGCCAGCTGTCAGTCTCTGTCTGTCCAAGGCCTTGGATGTCATGTACAGTAAATGTGAAGTGTAATCCGCTCAGCAGCAGCATGACAGGCTGCTAATATGCTCTGTGCTTAGCTCAGCAGGAGATGGCACTGCTGGCACAAACCAGAGAGCTTCAGCTGGTGGTGATCGTGTTGGTTGATAGTATGAGGAAAAATAAATGATGAGCAAACACTGAACATGTGAAATTAGACGTTACCTAACACATGGTGCTCAGGTAGGGAAAAAACAACAACTCTCACAATCGAATTATTAGGCCAGGCACTTTGACATTTTCTTGAATTCTAAATAATTTGATTAAACATTCAATTTAGAGGCTGTGGTTTTTGTAGTGCTGCTGAGTTTTATTGTATGTAATATTTTGTATTAATAAGGATGTACAAAATATTACAAAGCTCCAACCGGAGTGCTCCTGCATCTTTATTTCAAGTTATGTATGTGTTTGCTGCCTAATGTTTATTGGAAATGCAAGTTGACATCACCGCAAACACTACCCTCCTAAATGGTAATAGTTTGAATTAACACTTTCTTAAATAGATTTCATTTAAAATGTGAATGTCAGCAAAAAAAACAGACCCTGCTATTGTCATGTATACGTAAGGAGGCCACATTTTGTCACTGTTTAACCCTACACACATGGCTGCTTTCTTACCTGCATCCTCATTTTGTGTACAAAGTCACACACATTTAAATGTATGTTTACATATTCATAGGAAATGCAAACTCCACAGGACTCCATCTCATATCTTTGACATGAGTCAGACTGAGGATACAAAATAGCATAATTAGAGAAGTAGGACTGTGCCAAACTTCTGCAGAACCCTCAGTACCAACCTGTGGATCTAACATACGCTAACACTAAATACAAGCAGTTTACATTTCACCCCTTCTATATACTGAATTAAAATACTTCAGATCATTTTTCACTTCCAGTTTAAAGAAACGTAATCATGTACAGAAGAAGCAGTTGTTGAGATCTTCAAAAACAAATTTGTTTTCTGTTTTGACAACAAATGAGCTTAATCTGACTCCACTCTGCACAACCTCCTGTCATAAAAGAGGTTTTGAACTTGAATGTTGTTTCATATCTCCTTCTGTGGGAAGCATCGTGTTTCAAACCAGTCTCTTTCCAGGGTCAGTTTGAACATGAGGTTGGCATTTGATTGTAATCGGAGAACAGATAATGAGGCAGTTTTTTTCAGGAGAACCTTATAGATACTGTACATCATGTACAATGCAACTCTCCTCTGTTGGTTAAACATAACCAATCATCATTTATGATTCACAACTCATGGGGAGCAGCATTTTAATAGAGTCTGAGGTTAAAATGAAGTATTTAAAAGCACAAATATATCACATTGTTATGTGTTGTGTGATCTACAGTACAGTCTAATCTGAAGAAACACCCTGCATGTGTGTATACATACTGTAGTTTGATCAAGGAGGGTGTAACACAGGAATGTTTGTATTCTCAGTGAAACTGAAAACATCTTTTATATGGGACACCCTTCACGGGTGTCAACGAGTTCATTTGAACACACACATAATTTGCATCTCTCACTCTTAGTTAGTTGTCAGAGGGGTTTTCTTGTCTGTACAAACAGGGCCACACCCTCTGAGTCGCACATGTTCTCTCACCTCCGCACAGGCCAGGTGCAGCAGGGAGCACGGGGGGGAGAGAGGAGAGGAGGAGGTCATTATCCCCATGAGGGCGGAGCAGAAGGGGGAGGTGAAGGGAACAGATAAAACATTTGAAGCTCACATTGACATGCTGCTCTGAAGGGTCCTGTGAGTCCAGGTAAGAACCCGTGAATCTCACAGCAGTTGTTGACGTAGATTCATAGTTTTCGGTCACAGAGTTTGAAATGTCATACTGTAACCATGGGATAGGAGATAATGTAGTATTTACAGAACCAGTCTGTTCAGTACCACGGTCAGGTGGCTGACTTATTGCCAGTCTGTCTGTAAATTTGCATGTGTGTGGTCACATTACTGAGGAGTTTCATGGCATTTGTTTATTCATTGCTGGTGTGGAATATCACTTTTGAAATCAATTCAAATATCATTTTGACAGCTGTACTTAGTCCTGAGTTTCTTGATTTCTGATTGAGTGTAAACAGCTGTCTGGTCCAGGGTTCACTACTAATGTAAACAACAAAAATATTGATCTGCTACCACGGGCCAGAAAGATTCACTGACAGTGGAACATATTCTATATATATATATATATATATATATATATATATATAAACATTGGTGAGGGGTTAACTGACAGCAGAGTACCAGACATTCCCGAGCTCCTCCACCCCGAGGCAAAAAGAAAACCAGTTTTTCGATACGTTGACGTATGTGTTGTCTTGTTGCAGCCATGGATGGCGTGTTGGAAGAAGCAGCAGTGTTGTGTGTGTGCAAACTGGCCTGCAGTCTCCTCTTCCTGCCCTCACTGGCTGCCTCGTACAGTCTCGTCAGCTTCTGCTGCTGCTGCCTCCTGGTCTTCACCGACTTCCTGGTCGCAGGTGAGAATCAGCACGTGACCAGGTGTACTGGTCACCACCGTGCTCTGGTCCAGAAGCTAACGTACCCCGACAGCTTCACCCACACCACCTTTTAAAAGATTGTAAACAGGATGTCATTTTAGACTGTTAAATTATTTCAGTTTTTACACATTTTACACATCTGTCTACGTTTTTTAAATGTATTTAACTAGTCAAGCTACTTCACCACCTTTCCAAATGTACCTGGTTGTGGTCTAATTCAATCAAATCACTTAGACTTTATCTTCCTTTCCTCCCACAGTGTTTCTGAGTTTCCTTTGCATCTCTGAATCCTGGCTAACTGAGCTGACCCCACTAGTTGATGTTGTTGCCCTGCGCTTCCTGATCTTTATCAGCCACACATACGGTGCGGTGTTGCTTCTGACCACGCCTCTGGTTGCAGTGGAGACTCTGACCAGACTGCTGGTGCCTCACTCTGATGTCGCTCACAGGGCAGTGAGTCAGACAGCGGGCTCTGATGGACAAGGTTGTTCTGTTGGGGAGGTAACTGCTGAAGAGGAGGAGGACAGCAAAGACAACAAAAACAAAGAAAAGGGGTTGTCTCATCACGCTGTCAGCTACCTCTGCTGCCTGTCAGTGTGGGTCGTCGTCGCCCTCAATGTCAGGTGGCATTGGAAGCGCGAGGAAGCGTGGGCTGCTGCCTGTTGGCTCACGACCAACACCCTCATCACATGCTTGCCCAACCTGTTCAGCCCCATGTCTAGCACTGTGAATCCCTGCTGGGGCATGGCCTTCCTCTCCCTCCTCCTGTTCCTCCTGACCATGAGCACAGGTCTGCACCGTCAACACCGGGCCCCTGCACAGATGGCAAGGACACACAAAGAGAAACAGGGAGTTAACAATAACGGCGACAGTTGCTGGCATGACCTCGCTCCAGCACTGTCTGGGCCCTCCAAGCCTCCGAACCCTGGGACGCCCGAGTCAGAGCCAGCACAGTGTGTTGACCCAGGGAAAACAGAGAGCAGCTGCAGTGTTCACAGAGCTTATTCCTGGAACAGCGTGCAGATGTCGGCACATCACCATGGAGACTTTGTTCTCATCACCCCTGAATGTTTGTCTGCAGAGAGAAGAGGACAGGAGCATGAACGGACGAAGAAATGTATACCGTTGACATTTATCACGGAGGACGTGGACGCACAAAACAGGAGCCAAAGAGGCTGGCGACGGGGGGGTTTTCCCTGCCCGGGGGTGAATGTAATGATAGGGGTTGTGGCTGTGCTCTCCATCTTTGTGCTGCCTTTAAACCTCAGTGTGAACATTCTTCTGATCAGGACTGTAGAGACTCTGCTGGAGCTGTGTATCAAATCTTTCGTTTCACTTGCAGCAAGCACAAGCAATGCAGACACCACTCACAATGAAACACTTGTATAAAACCAGACTAGTGAGAGGCAAAAGTGGACGCTGATTGGAGGTCAAATGCAACAGGATCACCAGATTAATATTGCATATGTGCAGATGGCAGGTCTACCTGTCAACACTGGCTTGAATAGAGTGTAAATAAGCATTTCCGAGCAGCTATTCACATGTGAAGGATAATATGAGGAAACCGCTGAAAGGTGCCGAGGAGGCAGGTTGAGGCGTGCTTGGTGGTAAGACACTAGACAGAAACAGGGCTGGAAGGCCTGTTTTTATTGTTCAGAGCCTCAAGATATGCAGCGGTTTTGTCATTACTCAAGGGGTTATAGAACGAGCTTCACCAAAGTAAATAAGACTAATCCAGGGGAAAAGGGTGTTTTCAAAGTGGTAATATGATGCTGCATCACACAAACCCCACATACAGCAATATAAATAAACACAGAGTGACTTGAGTGTGTGCCACAGGTTCTGTTCTTCTTCTTTGTAGTTGTGTCTTTGTTCTTAAATCAGCTTGTTTCAAAGGATTGTACTCCTCAACGGTCATTTAGTCAAGTAATGCACTTTAAGTACAATTGTTAGGCACATGCAGGCTACTCTTTTTTTTTTTTTTTTAGTGTTTCCATTTTCTGCTCCAGGTAGAAATGTTTGACTTTTTACTCCACTGTATTTATTTACTTTTAAGCTTAGGAGTTGACATTAACAGTTTCACCAAAGAGAGATTTAAATACCCATTTCAGGGCCAGAATAATTCAAACTATCCAATATTTCAGAAAGATTAAAGAACCGGAAATAATCTTATCACGACCACCATCTTGTGATCCTTTAGGGGGAGGAACCCTAACAACACAGACCATATACTGAGAACCTAATGTTTAACTACATAAATGTATATAAAGTACTAAGTAGTTAGAACGAGTTGCATCTTAGCCAGCAACAGCAACAGCAACATGTTGCTTACTCATTGCTACAGTCTTTCTGATCTCATATTGTAACGCTAATATATAATAATCTAATATCATAAACATAAAGCTGAAGTTACAGCCAGCAGTCGTTTAGCTTAGCATAGCATAACAACTGGTAACATGAAATAAACAAGCCTACCAGCACAGCTCACTGATAAACATGTTGTGTGTGTTGTTTCTGTTCAATCTTTTGTTTAATCCGTATAAAAGAGCTTGTTTTTACTCTGTGGTTAGTGACTTCCTCTCTGCTAGCTTGTCTGGGTGGATCGGTACCGATTCAAAGGTCTGGATCCAGACAATCAACTTCTCATGTAACTCTCGGCTGTTCCCTGTAAATGAAACAAAGAGGTATCTCGTGGAGAATCTCAACGTGGCACGACAAGCCTTGTACTCGCACCACGTAGGACTCATCGAGCCTGAGCTGACAGGTTTGTGTAGCTTCAGGCGAGCAGGGACACACAGATGTCAACACCAGAGGGCACTCTGGTGCAACTCAGAGCGACTAAGACCTCAGACCTTGAAGCTCCCTAAATGTTTGATAGACGAGCTTTGGGGAGGTAACGTGAGACGGATGAAGCGGATTCTGGTTGCCTTTCCTTGCCGTAGCCTCGGGGCTGAGCACACCTCCTCTTTCAAAGTGCAGAGACCTGTGCAGGCAAAGACCGCAGCACGAGATCAAACGAGAGGACCACGTGCATTATGCGTGCGTGCTCATTATAATTATTGCTTCAGACGGAGAAGTTCAAGCAGTGGTTCTGTGTGTTTGAGGATATTTGTAATGTTTTACTTGTGTGAATGTCATGAGACATATCAAGTATGGTGTTAGGCAGATAGAGTTGAGATAATCTTCTTCCTAATAGTGTTTCAGTTTGTTGCTTTAGCAGAGCAGTGATTTAACTGCTCCCATCCGCCGGATGAATCATTTTTGGAGACTCTTAAATTGCACAGCACATCTTTTTTTTTTTAGAGCTTTAGTCTAATATTAATTTCAGATAACCCCTGAAAACAACAAAAAAAGCCAAAAGCTTACAACAGACTGCTAAAGTAACTTAATTATTCCTGTAAATATTCCAATGTATGAAAATGTTTTTGTATGTAAAATGAAGAAAATAACCAGAGAAATTTAATTCTATAAGCCCACCATCATGAACGGGCCTATTGTAATACATCCTCCAGGGCACTAGAGAGTGTGGGTTTATATCTTAATCAATGTTCAGATTGAACAGATTTATGTCAGACTCTCCAACCAACAGTCCAAAACATAAATATACCTTATTTGTAATAAGATAAAAAAGAGAGAAATCTCCATATTTGACGAGCTGCAAGCAGTAAATGTTTGGTATTTTTGCTTGCTAAATTACTTAAATGATTTATCAATCATCAAAACAATTGGTGGTTATTTTTCTGTCCCTCAACGGATTCGACTTATTGTCTCAGAAGATGGCTTCAAAACAGTTTGTTTTTTATTGTTACTGGATAATCATTAAGCCTTAAGCAATATTCATCCTTATACATAGTCCTAAAACATGTATAATAATATGGATGACGTATCTGGTGATTTGTGCCACCAGCGTTATAGCTGCAGTTCTTGTTCTTCAACTGTGAGTGATAGCAAAATTGCACATTCATTTCTGTTTTTTTCCATCGCTTACGAGATTAAAAACCTTACACTCGTGCCTCAGGAGGGCCACATCACACTGGAATCAGATAAAGGTCTCTCAAAGGAGAGCTCAGTGACTTTTTAATGGACACTTTCCCCTCAGGTAAAAATGTCTATTACAGGATGGACACCTTTTCCTTGGGATATAAATGTCTCAATCACAGGAGTGAGAGGAGAAAAGTCCTCCGAATAAAAGCTGGGGATATGAAGCCGCTTATCCTGAGGGGGTCTGCTGTGAATAAACGGCGCTCCGCTTCAAACTGCAGTTTGTTGTGGAACAGCTGTAACTATGATGCAACACGACTCAACTTCAGAGTATGAAATAACAAAGCAGAAGGGTACAAAGTTGCACAAAAAAAATCCATATAACTTTCTGGGTTTCTGACGCAGTGCATGACTCAGATTCCAGCTTTCTATCAGGATGATAGGTATGATAATTTATTCCCACCAGTATAACAACCAGTCATGCAAATGAAGAGGACCTATTGAAAGCGGCGGCTCACCCGCAGTGAGGGAACACTGAACCCATGCAGACATCTTGTTATTCATCATGTCACATGCCCAGCCCTCAGCCTATGCCAAAATAGAGAACAGCAATAAAAAGAGTGCACAACCTCCCACCTCCCAGCTGGATGGCATAGCAGGACTGAGAGTTTGGCACATCTCTCAACTAAAATGCCTGGCATGAAATCCTCACTCAACTGGAACAGGTATTGACAAGCAGAGCCAACCTACATTTCAAAGAGCATTTGTCTGCCTCCCAGATATGTTTCATTTTGAGGGTTTCATTTTCAACTCTGTTGATTATCTTGCTCTCAAGTGCACAGGATAGATCATGTTCACTCTCCGACTAAAGGTAACAACACTACACCAGTGTCAGTATTAGATTAAACTGACACGTAGTATGTCCTCTACACAGCACTGGTTTTCTATCATTTTAGCTCATGACCCTTTAAAATGAAGCATGTCAAACTTCTCAAAGACAACATTTTTAGGGAGCTATGAGCACTTTAAGTAAAGAGTGATTTTTATCTGAATTGGATAATTGCTTTGAACGTTTGTACGGACACTTGCGGTTCCCAGAAAAATCCCGCAGACATTGTTGATCCCCTGACTCTTAATCCAGTGCCACCGGTAGGTCAAAGTTTTAATTTGTCCAATATTGTGTAACAGCAGTATCCACAGCAACAGTAAATACACATATAAATATACATATCAATACCAAAGATATAGATCTATAAAATACACAATATGAAGAATATATTCGAATACAATATAAATATGCCAAATCAACAACTAGAATCTGAAATATAAAAATAGGATAAAATACTATATACTGTATACATTAGAGTGACATAAGTTTTGTTTGAAATTAAATGAAATAAGGTAGCGGGGAGTATAATAATGTGCAGGATATTGAAGGAGTAAAACAGAGTGAAGTGTGGTTTAGACGGAAACTATAAAGCTGAGAGTATTTGTTAGACAGCTGAGGTGTTGTGGGTTACTGCCTTGGGCAGGAAATATTGTATGAATCAGCCTGTTAGAGAAAGAGCTCTGCTGTCTGTCCAGTAGGTGGTTGAGAGCGGGGGGTCAGGGTTATCCATAATGGGGTAACCGTTTGTTCAGTGTCTTTCTCTCCACCACGACTTCAAAGGTGTCTGGTGTGCACCCAATTACCGAGCCAGCCTTCCTAATCAGTTCATTAAGTCCGTTGTTGTCGCCGACTCCAGCGAAGTACAGTGCACTGGCCACAACAGACTTATTGAATATTTTGAACATCTTGCTGCGTATGTTAAAGGATCTCAGCTTCCTCAGGAAACGGAGTCATTTGTTGGTTTACAACCAAATACACCAAATACTAATGATGTTCCAATTGTGTTTAGCGCTAATTAGCTGATGTTAGCATGCTAATTCACTATGCACATGACAAACATTGCTAAACATCTGCATGTTGAGCCACTCTCGTGCAGGTATTTTACCTAAAAATGTGAGTCAACCTCACACCAATCCTTGGAGGTGGCAAATACCAATTATAAAATACTCAAAAGTAATTGTATTTCCAATACAAGTAACAGAAATACTGTGCATCCCTAATTGTAACCTTTTCAAATATGAAATAGGTTTTTCCCTTCGGATTATTCAATAACACATTTTGTATGTCAAAAGAGGATAACTTTAAAATAGCTATTGTTGCAATTCTAGAAACATTTACATTATTACTGGACTACTAGCATGGCTGTAGACTCTTAGTTTTATAGGCCTGAGCAGGTAAAACCATCCAGTGTTTCAAAAGAAAATAGCAAAGATATGAGAAATATCTGAAAAAAATGTACTAATTTTATGCAGCATAGAAATTATTTTTTTCATATCTTTTAAAATGTTCATCCCACAAACCCCGAGATCTAACTTGCGACCCCTTGGGGGCTACGAACCCCCAGATTGGAAATGAGGGATGCCTCAATCTAGTATGCTGAAATCGGACCTTATTAAGTGGATCAGGCATCGGCCATGACAGGACTTCATCCATATTTAATACAGAACAATCCAGTGTTTGACCTATCAGTTATTCATTCAGTCATGGCTGCTGCAGACTGTTCAGATTTTAAATTTGGGGTAAAAAAAATAAAAATAAAAAAATAAATAAATCGGTATTGATGCTCTACAGCCTGTGTGTTCATGCGACCGGGACAAAGATAAAGAGACAGGCTGATTTTTGCAGTAATTTATTTTTACATTAAAACATTACCCACAAACCTCAGCTGCAGCTAAAGCACACTAAAGTGTGTTCACACAATGATGGGTGCACAGCGGCCATCATCAAAAGACACAATCATCATTAAAAGTGTCATAGTTATCATCATAAATCATTTTAACAATTCACGTCATTACCACCACCATCACCTGTAACCCAACACCACCCGACAATAATCTCCTTAATATTCAAACAGAAAGTCTCCAATGAAGCAGAGTCCACTGAAGTCTGCAACACGGCAAGCTGGGGTCAAATTTAAGCATTTGTTTTGAAGCACCAGCTGGCTGGGATTTACTCCTCAAGGACAACAGCGTCTCTATCAGAGAGAAGTAAAATGACTTAATCTGTCCCGTCTAAACCTTCTAGTAATTATGATCATCACACATAATTACACAAATCCTGTTTCACAAAACAGATTTACAGAGTGATCGGGATACATTTGCTGAGTAAATCCCAGAGAGAAAGACCTGTAGATCTGCTTCAATAATTTGCAGCTGCTTTAACATTTGACCCTAGTTTGCTTCATACTGCACATATCGGAATCACATCCTACAAAAACAAGGGCACTGCCCCAATCTTCTTTTACATGGACAACACAGACAAAACACACACACACACACACACACACACACACACACAAATGCAAAGATGTACAGCGGCAAAGGAAGAGTGAGATGATTTTTATTGGTTCTTTTTTGGAGATTTACCAAAGTTCTATCTGATTCTAAAGTATTTTGTAATAATCACTTTTTGGCCGCTACATGGGTATGCTCGGAGGGCCAGATGGGCTTTAAGCAAGCACAACCAAAGCTGGATTTAAAAATGATAGCTGAACCAGGCTGCACAAACCTACCCGTGCACATGTCCGTCCGTCCACCCACGGATACATCTCTCAATATGCTGGACCTGGCTGAGCGAGCAGATTCTGCAGGACCTGTGTACAACTAATGATGAACAAGAGCACTTGAGGCACCTGGGGCGAAGAAATAAACATGGGTGAGCCTCAGGGGAATCATCAGAGATTCAGACAGCAGCAGCCTTGGGAATGCGAGTCGCCCAGGAATAGCATATTTATTTAGCATCCATCACCATTTTCCTTGATAATTGCCACTTCCCAAAGTATCCAGCTTGATTTCATTTATAATTACATGATTTCAAATAAGAGAGATCAGTCGGCCTCTGTAGAATTTTAGAGTAATAATTCATCTTTTAGCCTTTTCGATTTTCAAATCGGAGAAGTTAAGCTTTTACAACAATAGGGCTTTTCACAATGCACTGAGCTTTCACACCGGCACATTCCAAACAGGGCTAACCCCGACGTTAGCCTAGGGCTTGCATGTGCTGCTCCGGAGCAGGGTCAGATTCCAGTTTGCGGGGTTATCGCCTGAAAATCGACTAAACACAGGGCTAAAAGTTGCCAGTGTGAAACAATGGGATTTGCGTCATGTTTTTGTTGTCCAATCGGAGTAGTCACACATCATTCTAGAATGTAAACATTAGTCACATGTTCCAACGGACATTTAACCCAGGGCTAGTAGAAGTGCAGTGTGGATCGTATAGCCCCGGGCTTAGGTTAACCCTGGGTTTTAACAACGTGCGTGTGAAAAGCAGCAAAGTTATCCCCAGGTTCCAACTCTTAGCCCAGGGCTAAGGATAGCACAGCAGTGTGAGCAGCCTATAGAGGTCGCCAACTCACGGGGCCATCTACTCAGACTGCATGGTTTAACATTCTTTTGATTTGAAGACAAAAAGATCAGACATCACGACTGAAAGCAGTCATGTACTTGAATAACCCACAGGTGTAGCGTATGCTGATGACTAGCATACTTGAGGTTTCGGTGCAGAAACTTAAACATGAGCCAGCATGATGAGAGACTGTTTTTAACCCTTGATACTTTATATACAAACATGCAGATCCTCACTCCATCAGTAGCAGCATATTTCTGGACAACCTCCACCTCCAAACACTACATGGGTAGGGCTGGGACATGGATACTCGCTGCTGCACATCGAACGAGAGCTTTCCTCGCCGTGATAAAGACTGAATAGACACATGTGGATGTGACCCGCAGGAGGAACAGAGGCCATGGACTCAGACGGGAGTAAAAAGTGCCAACAGACCTGGAGTTCAAGGTCTACTGCTGGCCAAACAAAAGCAGAGTGCTGTCAAACACATTCCACACACAAAGCTAAGCCGATTGTACAGCACAGAGAAGAAGACTGACCCGTCTTCAGTGTCCTCTTGCCTGGAAAGAGAGGAGACAAGTCGGACAAGCCTGGGGCTTGATAAGGAGAGCGGTGCCCCCTGAGAGTGTGCAAGGTGGGCCTGGGGCTTTAAGAGGAATCACTGCCACAGACGCCAGAAGAGCCCAGGGGTCCCTCCGTCTCCACTTAGTGTCCTCTTTTCAATTAAAGATGTGGAATGAGGCTCAAGTGCACGCCATTATGGTACGGTCGTTTCAAGTCCCACAAAAATAACAGCGCGGGTCTTAAGAGCAACATCAAGCACGATTCTTAAGTGAACTGAAAGAAATAAACATTTCACACACCCTATTAAACATTTTGAAAAATTGATTTCTTAAGAATCTTTTGAAGTCCTGTGAATTATCCGTCAGGACAATCTCGAGCGCAGACGTGTGATGCAGCTCTTAAAGGCGCACAGTGTTGATACGCAGCGGCTGCACATTCTTGCCGTTGGCGTGGCTCTGGCCCGGGCTGAAGTAAGGGAAGACCTTGGCGGGGAATTTCTCCCGGTAGGTATAGAGCCAGGACATGTCGTCTGCATTGTAGAAGATGAGCAGGCCTTTGTGGTAGTCTAGGTACACCCCCACCTTCTCCAGCTTACTCTTTACATTCAGGCGGGTCCACGGCTCGGTGCAGGCGCTATACTGGTTGCCGTCGTGCATAACGATACAGTAGAAGCCGCGGCTGGGCTGGATCTGGATGCTGCCCTTGCGGCTGACTGTCTCGTGGGCCACACCGATCATCCACTGGGTCTTCTCCGACACCATCACCTCCCAGTAATGGACGCCCGACACGAAGCCTTCAGCGCCCAGCACGGACACCTCCACGTCAAAGCGGCGCGGGGAGTCCTGCAGCGGCTGTGGATGGAGATTCCCGTAGGCCACTATAGTACAGTCGTCTGACAGGATCAGTCTTTGATGGGCTGTTATGGGGTCGAGGGTCAACGGTGCTGGCACTGAGGACGAGACAGTTTTAGCACAAAGAGTCAGCATTTATCTTGGAGAAAACAGTCAGCCTAGATAAACAGGCCAGTCATGGATACAAGTAAGTAGGGAAAAAAACTAAACAAACAAAAGCGAGGAGGACTGCAGTGTCATTCTCACAGCCTCATTTTTCTTAATCGTTTCAAGATGATGTGTGAACAATTTTATGCTGAGGCAGCGAGTAAATACATCCAAGCTGCTCAGGCACTTTACAGGAGAGGTGGGGTCAAGGTTATGAACAGATCTCTGAAACGCTCCTAGAGTAAAGGAAAATATATACTGAGAACACTTTGACCAGGAGGTCACTGGAAATGGTTTTGGTTTTATTTTCTTATCCAGCATGGACTACGGTGGGAAATAAAATCAATGAAATCGATGAAAAAACAAAGTCCGCTTTCTTCCCGTCTACTTTACTAGTCCAGTAAACGTTGCGATCACTCAGCTGCCCGTCCTCTCAGCTCACGTCTAACATTTAATGTGACATCCCCGTAACTCAGTGGAGGCCAATTAAATTTAATTTGCGATGCTCGAAGCATTGAGAAACCGCATTTTTAATGATTTTTTTCGATGCATTTTGCTTTCATCCGATATCTTTGACAAAAGAGACCGATAGTAAAGATGGAGAGAGTGCAGAGGGAGCTGACATGCAGCAACGACGCCGTTTAAAATGCACCTTGTGCCGCGTTCACACTACAAGCGACAGAGCTAGCGACAAAAGGGCCGAGCTATTTTGTCGACAAGTGTCCGTTGACGTGTTGCTCACGTAGTTATGTCATTAACATGCACTGGGAAGATGGAACGGAACAGGGGGATGATTGGTCGATGCTTCGCCGCATCACTTCAGCGCTGAAAAAAAAAAAAAAGTAGTGAACTGCTCGGTATTTTTCGTCTCACAGCAACAACGGGGGCGCAGCAGTAGATCTGTTGCCACCACACATTGTATCTTTACAGAAACAATGTCCAGGTTACTGTGGATGGATCGCCGCACTGTGGGCAGTTTCTCGTTACAGATAGAGGAGGTGATCAAAGCCATGCCCTGTGGTAAAAGATGACCGACGGCTTGTTATTACACGATGCCACCAACTGCTGCTGCTCGACTTTTATTTCAGGAGGATGAGCAACATTTTATTTGTAATCTGTTTTACCTTCATGCATAAACTAGAGTCTTCAAAGTCAAGTGCTCTCCAGAGGCTGCTAGTGTAGCTCAATGTGAGCAGTATCAGACCACAGGAAGTGTGCAAATAATAGAGTGAAGCAGTAATTACAGCGACGGGAGGAGCTGCTCCAGCTCGCTCCACAGGCTCCGGGCCCGCAGGAGGCCGTTTGTCAGTGCAGTTATGTGGTTTTTGGGAGGGAGAATCGGCCCCCATGTTTGCTTATTAGGGAACCATATCAGGCTGAACAGCAGCTTGTTCTCTTTGCTCTCAGGAAAGAGTGGGAAAGGCATTCTTTCAGTTCCTCTATATTTATATCAGGATAAATGGAGGTGAAACGTCTGGCGCCCGGCCAGCGGGCAGGACAATGCCTTCTCTAGTCAATGACATCTCCAGTGTTTGTTACAATCAAGTCATTAAAATTTCATAACCTGAGTGCCTCTTTGTGTCATACAGAGAAACCTGCAAGCGTACACGCGTCAGCGGAGAAACAATTTTTCCTGCTGAACATGAGAAGGGTGAAAAAAAAGAAGAAAAAGCACAATGTCTGGTAGTTACTCTCGCTAACCCTTCAGTGACAGCGAGGGATGATGGGAGGAATGTCTTTACTTCGTCTCAGGCAACCGCTGGTGATGGATCGTAACCAATTGTTCCATTTGGCAGCCAGTCAAGGGAGACCAAAAAGCTGCCTGCCTGCATTGTCGTCCTCTAGGTCCGACCAACAAGGACAAAGCATCCCAGCAATCCTAATTCAGGGCAGGATCAGTTGCTGCACTCCGTGTGTCTGAGTCACACATTTAGCTACTGAAGCAAAATTGGATAATCAACCTGCTTTTAGAAGGAACATTTACACATTTTGGAAAATATGGTTATTTTTTCTCTTGCCGTCAGTGAGATGAAAAGACTGACACCCCTCTGCCATCTGTCTATTAAATAGAAGTCTACAGCCAGCTAGAATATGGTTATCTTAGCTTAGCATAAAGACTGAAAAACAGCTTGCTTGGCTCTGTTCAGAGGTAACACAATCCTGCTACAGCATCTCTAAAGCTTGCTAAAGAAACAGCAATTAGTGGTTTTAAATGGGCACCTGGCCTAGAAATACATCAGATCATAACTGTGTATAAAACCCACAGAATAAAGAGAGTAGGTATAAAGTGTGAGCTTTAGAGGTGCTGGATTCTGTTACATTCAAACAGAGCCATACTAGCTAGCTGTTTCCAGCATTTAAGCTACGCTAATCGGCTGCAGCTCTATATTTAACACGTGTGTTATCGATCTTCTCTTCTAATTCTTGGAAAAAAAAAAAAAAAAAAAAGCAGATAAGTATACCATACCTTTAACTCCTGCAGTGCTTTACGCTACACTACAGTATATTTGAAGTATATAATGTATATTTACTAACCAGCATGTTTGCGTAACATAACTCTCCTGTTCCAGTCACGGTCACATACCTGGTGAGATATCCTGGAAGAGAGACTTCCATATCGTGTACTGTAAGGGCCCCATGTACTTGGATGTCGGGAAGTCTTCATATGTCAGATTGGTCTCATGTATCTTCCCTTTAATTCTGGGAAAGATTAAAAAACAAAAAAAAAAAACAGAACAGATCAATAATAGTCTAAATCTAATTTGCTGCTTTTCCCTTAATAACACTGCCTCTGGTTCAAACCACAACGTCGCTGCTCCAAGTAATACCCTGGCCTGTGACTTTGAAATGTGTCATTATAGAAATTGAACCGCTGACAAACTGCTTCATGAATCTCAAGCAACAGAGACGAATGCATCAGGGAGACGGGGGGGGTTCAGCTCTAACGTCATTACAAAATGATTCAATATGAACCTCCACATGAATCACTCGGCACACTCCTACATGTAGTCCAGAGTTCAGGCGGGATATGGAGTGGGTTGCTCACCACGTTGAGATCCTGAACATAACGTTGCGGTACGTTGAAAAAGGGACCTTAGTGTATACGTACCTTTGTTCATTACGTTTTTCATGGTATATTGTCAGACAACAGGGAATGAAAATATTGCAATGTTTGCAAAAAAAAACATCCAGTTTTTGAAAGTTAGAGTGAAATGTACATTGATCGTACCTGCTTGTCCATCATATTTACATACATTTACAATCTCTTCTGACACATAACATCCACCTCCAGTTTAGAAGAAATTATACCAAAAAAAAAGCTTTCATTCTGTCACTCTTGCTAGCTCTATATTGAACCTCATTAATCTGTCCAAAGATATTAAACTGTTCAATTAAATCGTCCCCAGATTAAACACTACAGCTGGTTTACTCCCGGCCTAATGCACCATCTGTTCACGGATAATCTGATGCTGTTGCTCAAATCTGTACTTTCTCCAAAATGTAAGCAACTTTACATTTCGCAATAGCAGAGCACACATGTCGAGAGATAAAATCCTTCTAACATGACAGCAAATATCTTACAATTAGCTAAAGTGTTGATGCAAGACTTCAAGAGTTGATAAAAACCTGATCCTTCTTGATTCAAATGTGTTTACAACCACATTTCTTTTCTTATCGGACTGCAGTGACGATACTGGGACTGCTTTAGCAAACTCAGAGCAGGTGAAGCACCTCTCAGATGTGACGGCTATTCCCTCCAGGAAGTCGTGCCTCCCCGTCTCGTTGAGGCGCTCCTGCAGGATCTGGATGCCCTCCTTGACGTCGCGCAGCTGCTGGCTGTAGCGCTGGATCTTGTGCTCGATGTCGGACAGCTTGCGGGCCGTGTCCATCTCCAGCTCCTCCAGCATGCTCTTCTGACGCTCGCGCAGGAAGCGGTGAAGGCGTTCGAATGCGTCGCCGATGGTTGCGCGCAGACTCTTGGCTGAGGACTGAAAAAAAGGTGATTTACTTTAAAAAAAAAACAAAACTAAAAAAAACAAACAAACAGCCAGACTATTTATAGCCAGTTATTCATAGTTAGCTGGGTTTGTTGAGTGCCTGCCTCTTAATTAGACACGGGTCAGTAATTCAAAGGCTTACAAAGTGCTCTAAACGGTGTTAATATTACATTAACATTCATTCATTGATTACATTTCTATAGATTTTAAGTGGCTCTCTGAGAACAGTGTGTGTACAACCTTCCACTGAGGGAATAAAGTAGCTTTTCAAATGTTTTAATAAAGGAGAAACAAACAGTGTACTGTAACAGAAATAACCCAAACAGACGACCAGGACGGGGACAAGGACATCACCGCCTGTGAAGACGTCCGATTACCAGACCGGAGGCCGGACAGAGACGCTGAAGCTAGTACAGACAGAGCCGAGCAGTGTGCAGGCGACGGCAGACTGAAGAGAGCAGAAGGAACTGATTTGTTACTGAAGAGGGAAAACGGGAAGCTGGACATTAAAGAGAATGAATCATCGAAGTGTCAGAGAGACAGAATGAGAGCCTTTCAATTAGAAGCATCTGAGGAAAGCAAAGACTGGACTTCATTCAGAGGTTTCGTTAAAAGTTTCCCTGTCATCGCTTTACTGAAAAACTTGTACTTTTGTCGAATAAAATGAAATCAGCGCATCAAAGAGAAGCTCAGAACAAGAGGAAATCATCTAAACAAGAAAGTTAAAAGAAACTGGCTTAATTCATCTGTTGGGAATTAAAAACACTCTTCTGATCTTTTCAGGATTCAGGAGTTGTGATCTGAGGTTTAATTAAACTGGCCGAAAAATTCAATCAATCCTTCACAGACCAGGGGCAGGTATTCTCACTCTGCCTGTGGGAAACCTTTCAGACGACCATTTCTCTTCAATCATGAGAGCCATGACATTAAGGTGGGCTGTACGGCAGCCCTCCTACCTAGTTGAGAGTCGAAAAAACGGTGGTGTGGAGAAGGAGGAGGAGGAGGAGGATTGCAGCAGCCCAGCTATCAGTCTCTGAGTGATGTTGCTGCTGCTTTGGCCCAGCGGGCTGTGAGGCACTGAGAGGGTGTCTGCAGCCCTTGGAGACAGGAGGCTGGCTACCTTACAGGGAAGCATGTGATTATAAAGTGAATCCCTGGTGGGCCTGTGAATAGGACACGATGTCTATCCTTCAGACGACAACCCTCCAGAGCACACACGCCAGCCATGGACCCAAATTGGATTTCGAGGCGGGCACATTCAGTTTAAATGACAGCCGGGCTGTCGCGGGGATTTCATCTCAATATTAGTATGAGAAACTGAAACGCAACTCTGTCATCAACATTAAAAGGGGAAACCCACTGATTTTACACATCAAAGTCTGTTTACAGGTCTCTAGGCGTAGTGCTGTCTATGTGAAAGTGTTTTATAAAGCCGTGAGCGAAATCTGATAAATTGCCTCGAATGATGTCACTCGAGTCAGCGTCGGTTGGGGTTGTGGAGTTAGAAAGAAGTGAGCTCACCCGACCTCCGCACCTCCTCATCTCTGCTCGAGGCTTCAGCTACTATAACACACATGAATCTTCGACTGAACAGTCAGCGGTGGAGCTGCATTATGGGTAATGTATGTGCCAGGCTTCAAAGATGAAGAATGTGTGGAACAAATCTGACAATATCTCTGGCTCTGCAACATTGATTTTTTATCTTTTTTAACTGTCCATTACGAGTCTGACAATGTTATAGAAATGCAAAGTTGATGGAGTACTCCTTTAACAACAATGAAGAAGAAAAATGAGAAACATTTAGCGAGACGTTTCATTGTCATGCTACCTAAACACATCAGAGATCAATGTGGTCACAGTGCGGCTCCCTTCCAGGCAGAGCACTCTGTGCAAATGGATGTAAATCTAATGAGATCAGCTCAATTCCAGTGAGGAGTGGGGGCGGCTGAAAGGCCTACATCGAGCAGTCAGAGCGAGTCAACGGACGGGCTGAAATGCACCGGGACCGGCTCTCTTTGGCAGGAAGAAGGAGTGGTGCTGTGACGTTGGACAGCAGGTACAAAAACAGGAGAAAGATGAATGTACTCCCTAAATGAAAGATAACGCTGACGGCTGAGCCATCATCTCTGCCAGAGACCCTTCCCTGGTCAGAAGCTTCACTGTCACTACAGGAGAGATTAGAAACGTGCACGAGTGGAGGGGTTACATAGTGACTGGATCACGGTCCCCTGATGTAAAGAAAAGGTGTCCGGATCAAACAGCCGCTCAATAAACCAATTTTATGTGTCGGAATTTATCGATTGGTCAGAATTGGTTTGGAAGAGCAGATTTATAATCAATGACTGCACACGTTAAAAAGACCTGTTTATAAGAACTCATTTTACTAAGCAAGTATTACCGTCTCATCTGGATATTTAAGATGCAAGCACGGATGTCTTGTTTGAATAAATATCCACACAGTCGGTTGTGACTGACTTCTGATCCCGTTTGTTAATGTATAATTAATGACTCGTTTAAAAAAAAAAAATAATAATTCTACCAATTATTTTCTTGTTTCTCGATTAATTGTTTTAAATGTTAGAAAATAATGAATAAAATAACGAATAGACATCACATATTGCTTATTAAGCCCAAGATGGCGTCCTAAAAATGCAAATATTACAGCTGGAAAACAGTCGATTAGGTGATCCTTTTATTGAAAGAGGTCATTTTTGGAATGTGAATGA